TTGAGGTTGAAGCAGCGATGTTACCAAACATGAATAAATACGTGTGTATATTGTAATCAACGACAAAAGTAGTGCTAGCCCCATGCGGCAGTCGTGCTGCAGAGAGTAAGATGCGAAGGGACGCGCGGACAGACGCGCACCTGTAGTTGACGATGAGATGGCCGTCTGTGGCAAAGGACTGGATGTGGATGAGCGGGGGGCGTGGCGAGCACGTGTGTGCGCACCTTGAAGAGGTTGGAGACGGTGTCGTCTGGGGCGGGGGAAAAGGCGAGGTTGACATAGGTGAACTGCGGGATGAGCGGGGGGCTGGGGGAGGCGCGGGGGACTCACGAGGGGGTCGCCGGGCTGCCAGGCGAGTTCCTTGCGGAGGAACTGGATGACGGCCTGGAAGCGGTTGCTGGAGGTGATCTTGTAAAAGTTCTGCTTCATGATGGGGGCATTGCCGACGGCCTTGAAGCGGACGATGACTGGGGGGGGGTTGGCGGGCGGCGGGGGGGAGGGACGACGCACCTTTGGACGAGTCGCGCTGCTTGTATGCGTCGAGTGGGTGGAGAGACATGGGGCACAACAGGGGCAAACAGCGCAAGTTGGGCGGCCATGGGGAACACAGCGTCGAATGCGTCTGGGCAGCGTCCGGGGGGGCGGCACGCCTCGCCGTCGCCCGGGCACCCGCACCCGTCGCTGCGCACGAAGAAAAAGTCGCTCGAGCTGCCCGATCTCGCGGACCTCGCGCTGTCCGCCCGCACCCGCCCGCCGCCCAAGTCTGCATCGATCCCGATCCCCGGCCCGCACCGCCCCCCTGCGGCCGACCCCCACCGCCCGCGCGCCCCGATCGCGCTGCCGAGCACGACCGATGTGCCGCTGCTCGATCCGCGCCCGCCGACGCACCAGTTCCCGCCGCCGTCGCGTGCAGAGCGCCGCATCCAGGACCTCTACGACCAGTCCCACCAGTCCCCCGCCCCGGTCCCGCGGCCCTTTGTCCCCGAGACCGTCTCGTCTGCGCTGCCCGTCGGCCTCACCCACGTCCAGCCCCGCCCCAACCCCGAGCTCGTCCCCGTCCCCATCGCCTGGCACGGCGGCGGCAAGTCCGTCTTCCTCGCACGTGCCGGCGACGACGACTGGAAGGGCCGCCTGCCCATGATCCCCGAGTGCGTGTCTCTTCTGCCCGTCCTCATCCGTACCTACGCCACACCAGGTCCCCCAACTCGGCCGTCTACCACGCCACAGTCAGCCTCCCCCCCGGCACCCTCCACTTCCGCTTCCTCATCGACGACTCGTGGCGCGTCGCCGACGACCTCCCCACCGCCGTCGACGACCAGGGCTCCCTCGCAAACTACGTCGCCGTGCCCCTCCCCGACTCCCCCCCGCCCCCCACCACCGCCAAGCCGCCCCCGCCCCGCCCCGGCCACAGCTTCTGGAGTGCCGCCGACGACGACGACGCCAGCAGCGCCCCCGCCCCCGCCCACCCCGGCCCGCACGCCCCCGCACAGTGGACCGCCGTCCTCCCGCCCGAGCTCATCGAGGCCGCGCGCGAGGAAGAGGCCTACCTCGCCGCCTCCGAGGGCCACGCGTCCCACGGCACCCAGCGCGTCGCGGGCTTTGTCCCCGCCCCCAACATCCCCCCCGCCCCGGGCCTCCCCCGCCACCTCGACAAGCTCATCCTCAACGCCCGCCCCGTCGTGCAGGTCGGCGCCGTCGTCGGCAGCGGCGCGGTCCCCCCGCGCAAGGGCGGCAGCAGCAACGGCGGCGGCGCCCGCAAGACCCGCGACAGGGAGGGCCGCGAGCGCGATAGGCGCGACGGGTGGAGAGACCGCGACCGCGACCGCGAGCGACGCGAGCGGCGCAACCCCCCGCCCGCGCCTCCCCCAAGCGAGGCAGACGTCGAACCGGACCCCGTCCCCGTCCCCGTCCCCGTCCCGGCCGTCGTCCCGCGCTCCCCGCCGCACGACCCCGCGCCCTCCACGCCCGTGCCCCTGCCCGCGTCTGCGGCTGCGTCTCCGGCGCCCCCGACGCCCCCGACGCCCTCCCCCGCCTCCGCCTCCGCGCCGACGTCCCGCCCGCTGACGATCAGCCTCGACAACGACGACAGCACCGTCCCGCTCACCGACGACGCGAGCGTCCTCCCCGTCCCGTCCCACGTCGTCCTGCACCACCTCTCTACCAGCGCGATTAGGAACGGCGTCTTGGCTGTCGGCACGACGACTAGGTATAGGAAGAAGTATTTGACTACGATTTATTACAAGCCCACCTAGCGGGGTGGTGGCGCGGTGTGGGTGGCTTATACATATACAGTGACGTTTAACGTTTTTCCTTTCTGCTTTTTTCTTTTGTATTTGTGATTGTGATTTGTGATTCAAATGTATAGAGATTTTATGTCGTGGATCGAGGTACATATACTAGCGGTGGAACAAGTAAGTTCCCCCGTGGGAGACGGATCTCTCCCACGACAATGAGAAACGCGCGCAGAGGCAGAGTTGATGTATCCGGCGAACACAAACTCCCGCATGATCAGCAACCGCACCCCCATCCGCCTCTCGTCCCATGCACAAGGTACATCCATCCACATCGCACATGTAGCCCCGCCTCGGCACCCGCGCACCCGCGTGCGTGCGTGCGTGCGACGAGAGCATCCCGCATGACAGACTCAGACGAACCCCGACGGAAATATAACGGGAAAAGTTCTTACGTCATCGTAGTGCAGAGCGACTGCTCTACCTAAAAGTCATGGAGACGAGAGTCAGCGACCCGGTCGCGACCGCACTATCGAGCTGAGATCGCCTTTGGTCAAACGGAATAGAGGGAAGATCGATCAGAGGTATTCATTGCCAGAAACTCACCAGAAGGAAAAGAAAGGTAAGAGAAGGAAGGAGGAAAAGCGGTGTGCCTGGCTCGAAACCATCTCCAATTCTATCAAACGAGATACCTAAGAACCGAGAACCACGACTGCCGTTCGCTGCCGTCGGAGAGGGACGGCCATGGCGGGCAAGAGAGATTCAAACACAGCGAAGCAAAACAATGTTATGTTAGAACAACCCGGACTTGTCATGAAACCGCAGTAGGCAAGTTGTAAAAGTGAAGAATATGAAGAAACGACAGCATAATTCGGGTACGGGGAATCGAACCCCGAGCTGCCGCGATGCAATTCAAATAACATGAAAGGCGGCAATGTTAGCCGTTACACCATACCCGATTGTTGGGGCTTGACGCCGAATTCGTATTACATATGCAAGGGATTATCAGACTTGTCGAGACGTTAATCTAGCCTCAATGTCACTTCATTCAGTTAACTCAATGGCAAACTAACTCAATGTTTAATTCCAGCTCTAACCTCACTTCATGCAGTTCAAGCTTTGTTGGGCCAATTTAAAGCATGGATTACCTGCATACAACTAACTCGATATATCCAACATTAACAATTCTGA